ACTTTGTCTTTGCAAAAGTCGGCGAATGACGTTTGATTTGTCCCTTTACGTCTGTAAGAGTGAATGGGTCTTGTGTTGGTGCAATGACTAAGTTATTTTTGCTTGGAGTAAGTTCGATAGAAATTTTTCCTGCCCAGTTTGGCAAGTATCTTAAAAACCTGAAGATGAGGAAAGATGACAAAGGAACTCTAAGTTTCAGTTTTACTTTAGTGCAGCATTTCCATCTGAACCAGAAAGGTTAACATAAACTCCTGGAACGTTAGGGTCAAGTCTTCTTATTTTCTCAATAGTTGCATACTGGTCTGTTTGTTCTCTAGCTTGTGGTTGTACTGAGTTTCTCAAAGCGAACCATTCATAGTTTGCCCATGTTACTGTTTGAACTAAGTCAGAGTTAGAATATATCTTATATCCCATGAAAACTTCTGGAGCATATTGGTATCCGACATAGAAAATTCCATTGCAACCTTTCTTGTCAGACAACTTGGCAGAAGGTTTTATTTCAATGTCTTGTTCCACGTATAAGAATGAGTTGTCAATAGAAATATATGAAACCTGTCGCAAGCAATATCTACTGTTGTTGAAGAACCTTCTCCAAACTCACCTACGTTTCCATAAGAAACAGCAGTTGTATATTCGTAAGTTCCAGGAACTATTTCTGACCTTCTAATGGCATTGTCGCATTCGTTATACCATTCGGAAACATTTCCATTCATGGCATCCAAAACTGTTGGCGTTATATTCTGAGCGGCGTACATTTCATATGGGTAAAAATATAGAATAGTTGGATTTATGTGTCATAATAGAACCCACGTGGACCAAGCTTTACTTTCTTCCTGACTGAGTTTTTAACTCTTCTTTTTCCTTCATTGCCACTACTTTCACTAGATGAAGTTACTTCTTCACTACTTTCACTTTGTTCTACTCTTCTCTTCTTCTTTGGTGTCGCTTTTGGTAACTTGCCCTCTGCTTCAAGTTGTTGCATCTTTGCCTCATGTTCACCTAGTATGTTGTAAATTTCCCATGTCCTTTTTGCCTTTGGGCTCTGGTCGCCCATCTCAGGTAACCTATATCCTAGAAAGATTTGTCATAGTTTGTATTTGAGTCTTCGCGTATTGTTTGCATGACTCTTTCCTGAGTTTCCGGTTCAAGCTCTTCAAACAGAGCTTGTCCATATGGAATAAGCTCGTTTCCAAATATATGTTTTTGTAGCCATTCTGGTTTTCTTTCCATGTTACCAACATATCTTTTGTGAATGGGAAAGCTTTTACCCAATGTTTCAGTCTTGCGTCATTTATTTCTGTAGTTGGTTTTATTTTGTCAAGGAACATGTTTTTCAATACTAACATTTCATTTGGTACTGTCCATTTGAGTTTTCTTAAATATTCATCCCTTCTCAGTTCATTGTCTGCAAAGTAAGTTTTTATGACATTTTGTAAACTTTCGTTTGCAAGGTCATGTACAATAGGTTCTCTTCCTTCTCTCCCTAACTTTCTTTCTAAACTCTTCACCAAATATACCATCTCTATGGTTCTGTGTAGTTCTTTGAGATAAATGTTCTAGAACGTCAGGTGTTATATTTCCATCAGCCATGTTCATTTCATACTGGTCCAAAATATCTGCATGTTTCATATCTTTCAATGGCATTAAAGCCGCGCTGAAAATACCAGCTATATCTGGTTCACCATTCACTTCCATTGCGTCTACAACTTCTTGGAATTGTGGTTGTAAGTTTATGAACCACCTATCCGGATTAGCTTTATGACCCCATCTCATTGTAGTTCCATAGTCTGCAGAAACAAAAGTAGGTTTGTTTCCATATTGGTTAGGTTCTGAATGAACTTTAAACAATGTTTCATTTCTATATGTTTTGTTGAAATTTAACCTTTTATTTTCACCGAGTTCAGCCAAAGATTGAACGTTATATGGTCGTAAGTAAAAAGGGTTATTGTATTTGCGTACATTTTCTTTCAGTACTTCCATTCTATGCTGAATATTTTCATCTGATGTTGGAGTCTTTTGTATGTCGGCAAACATTTTTCGATATTCTTCTACTATGTCAGCCGAATTTTTCTTAGACTCTTGGAAAGATTCCATATTCTCCTCATACTCTTGTTGAGGGTCAAGATTTTTCGGCTGTTCCAAATCTTCATCTAGTTCTGTGAAGTTAGTTTCCAAAGGAGGGACTTGTTCGTTTCCTTCAGGCTCTTCTAGCTGTTGTTGCTGAACTATTTCTTCCATGTCTGGTTGTATCTGAACTTCTTCCTGTGGAGTTTCTTGTACCTCATCTGGTGGCATTTCATATATTCCGAGACCGTTTTTAACAAGTTCCCTATCTAAGTCATCCGGACTCATAAACCTTTCTTCTTTCGTTCCGTCTCTATTTTTTACGCGTTTCATGAAGAGAGTTGAATTGTCATTTAGCTCTGACACCAAATATCTCGGAGTAAATTCAGTCATGTCATTTGGATGATATGCTATTAAATCATATCCCTTAGCGAGCTTGTATTTTCCAGGTTTGAAATTATATCCCATTTGGTGCTGAGCCATAAAGCTAAATAGGTTCGGGTCAGTATTTCCTTCCTTGAACTTTCTAATAGCTTCTTTATATCTGTCACTAAAGTCAAGAGTAGCTGGGTAACCATAGTCTTCTTTAAGCATTTTTAAGAAATCTTGGTTTCCTTGTTCTCTACTTCTTTTATGTCCTTGCTCTGTTTGTGGTTGTTGTGCAGGGTTTTGAACTGTTGGTTGTTGTGCTGGTTGTGGTTGTTGTGCTGGTTGTTGTGTTGGTTGTTGTGTTGGTTGTTGTGTTGGTTGTTGTGTTGGTTGTTGTGTTGGTTGTTGTTGTGACGATGTAAATGTTTTAGGTAGTCCTGGTGCAGGTGCTTCTCTTGGAGGGTTTGGTGGTATATAAGTTCCACCAGCTGGCACATATGTTCCATCTGCAGCATAGTGTCCTATCTGACTTTTCGTTTTTAAGAAAGCATTTACTAGGTCTGTTTTGGTCTGTTGTAACTCTTTTTCTTGACTTTCACAACAGTTGCTCTAACGGCGTCATAGGCACTTTGAACTGCCTGTCTCGTTGCTGCATCTGTTATTTTCGTCATATTTTGTGCTACTTCTTTAACTCTTTGTCGAAACCTTCAGACTTCAGTTTCTTTCCAGATGAGAAGTCGTTCACTAGTTTCACCTTACTATGAAGAGCTTCGAAGGCGTTCTTAAAGTCAGCATTTTTAAAGCTTCATTTGAACTGTCTTCATCCGCTTGTATTTTTGTCCTTATTGACCCTATAAGTTGGGCTGCTTTAGCGTTGGCTTGGGCATCTAACCAGTCATTGTTAGCTTTTATATATTCTGCGCTTTTCATTGCCTTTTGCATGGCTGCGTCGTTATTTTTACTTTCTTGTGCTAAGTTTTCATACTGTACGGTTTGGTTTTGCAACTGTAAAAGTTTTTCTGCCTTTACATTTGCTTCAACTTCTTTTTTATACTCATCGCTATCCATATATGTCTTCAGGGCTTTTTGTTTTATCTCTTCATCTTTCAGTACTTTATATTGAGTAGTATGGTTTTTCAAATTTATAACATCTTGTTCCATTTTTGCTACTTCTGCTGCTTTTTCTGACACTTTTTTCGCATATTGCTCTGTACTTAGTTCTTTCAGTTGTTCTTCTTTCTTCTTTTTCTCTACGTTTAACTCATTGAGTTTCTTTGTGTGTCTGTCATATTCTAGTTTCTTTTCGTTTTCACCTATTTGCTTCTGTATGTCTATGTTTGACTTTTTGACATCTGCTATTTGATTTTTGAGTGAACTCAAATTCATTTGACTTTGAGGGTTATATGCTGTTCCGTCTGCAGCTCCACCATAGCCTGCCATTTTCGCTAAAAGTGCCGCTCTTAAACCTCCACTCTGTGCACCAAGAACTCGGTTTAAGAGCATAGGGTTGCTTGACATTTGTTGCAACATGGTGGGGTCATTCAGCATTTGTTGTTGCAACTGTTGTTGTGGTGTTAGTTTTACTATTGGATGTTTCAATGCTCTCTTCCTCTTACGTATATTCTTACGTAGCTTACGTGGCATTTTAAGTGAAGTTAAAAAGCGGTTTTTGACAGATGTTTATATGGCACTTTTTGTTCAGCACAAAAAACTACTCGGTCAAAGTGTTGTCAGTTTTGTAAAATAACTGTCCTCTCTCATTCTATAAGGGGGAAAGGCTTCTCAAAGTATACTTCCTTGGAACGCCTGTAACTTTTCCTGTAGCGACGATAGACCCTTGCTTGTCCGGACAAAGTTATACTATTTTGAGTGCTCTACAAAAAAGTCAACGGCGACGACTCTCAAAAACCATTGTGTAAAAAGTTTTACCGTTGGACAAAAAAGTATATATAGAAAACAAAAAACGTTTATAGTTCATTCAATATTTGAGATGGAACGGTTTGCCAACGGAGACTTTTCAATAAAATAAAAAAATAGAGGGGGTTACCGTTGGTAAAAACGGTTTATTTTAAACTTTTCTATGAGTAGTCCGAAAAAAACAGTTTATTTTTCATAATGGAAGGAAGAAAAAGTGTCGCAAACAATTCGTCGACTACCTCTGCAGTTAAAGTTCCTACAACTTATGTCTCACCATTCTCAAAACCCTTACGACCTCCTATAATACCAAAGCAAGTTCCTCATACAATTCAAGACAATTTGTCCAACAATTTGAGTTCTTCTTCTCAAAACACAACAGATACAGTTGTCCAAACAGCACCAGAACAAGTTCCACATATACAATTCAAGACAATTTGTCCAACAATTTGAGTTCTTCTTCTCAAAACACAACAGAAACATCTGAAACAGATTTACAACCAGCACCAGAACAACACACACATAGTTCTACAAGTATGTTAACAAGAGCACAATTTCAAGATTTAATTTCTCTTGAACAATATTCGAGTAACGAAACACAAACCGACGACTGTAACCTCTCGCTACCCGAATCCATTCAAAGAAAATACGCCATGAAAAGACTGAAATTGTTGTATAAACTTCTTAACAATTGGGGGGTCGAAGACAACTCAGACTATAGTGAAATGTTTAACAAAGTCATAGAATCTGTTAAACCAATTGAAAACGACATAAAAAATCCCGGTGTTCTTGTAGACCTTTTCGCCTCAAAATTACCAGTTACAACCAATCTAATAGCAACACAAGCTATAGAGCAATTTATTTTATGTTTTCCCAAGCAATATAGACAACACCTGAGGGAAACAAGAATAGGAAAATTTCAATTGGTGTATCCTACAACATACAACTATTACGAAGAAGCAAATGAATATGGAGAACTCTCATTCCATTTCACACTTTCAGTTCCTGAGGGAGAAGAAAAAGCAATCTATCATGTACAATCTCTTGCAGGATGTGAAGGAAAACCTCACATAATATCTACTGTTGCAATTGACAAACCTGCAAGAGTCGAAGACGATGTTTTGTTCGCGTCCATTGCTGGTTTTGGCATGGGAGAACCAATTCCAATTTCCCATTTCACAGAATACTCAGCACAACATTTTCAAAATGTAGAATTCGTGTTCTACGACCAGCAAAAGTTCCTGCTAACAAAACCAAAGAAACAATTTGTCTCAATATTTGTTGCTGGTCATGTGGCTGACAAAGAGCCATCAGATACTGACTATGAAGAAGAGGAGGAGGAAGAAGAACAACAAGAAGACGAATAAAAAATAATTTCCGAATAAAAATTTCAAATTTTTACTTTAATCTCTTTTTTCTCTTCTGAGTCTTGAAATCAGTCCTCCTCTAGTTTCTCCGGGGCTAGAGGGCACGAAGTGCCTGGAAGCCCCACTCACCTGACCTATACGTTTTGATTTTTTTCTTTTTTAAAAAATTCAATTTCTAGAAAAATCGAGAAAAAATCATTTTCTTCTATTTTTTTAGGACGCCATACCCATTGAAATCTCCTCTCAGGACGCCATAAACTATTCAATTATGGTGTAAACTTCTCAAAAATTGAATAGTTTACATCAGGACGCCTTAGGACGCCAACCCTTTACGCGCCCAATAAAAAAAGATAAAATATTAATGAGAAAATTGAAAGAATAGAGTGTCCCATTCACTCGTGTTGGTCGCAATGTATCATTCTGGGAGACATTGCCTCTGCATGTCTCCCACAATGGCACAATGTTCCTTGGAGAAAGACCTGGAAGGGGGTCCTTTCTCAAGGTCAGGGCCCCCTTCTAGTCTTTCTGGTCCTGGAAGGAGCGCTTCTGACTGGTCTGTGCGCTGCTTCCAGGAAGATCAGGAGATTGCTCGAAGTTCGCGGCAAGTGCATTCCGACACCACAGATGCACTTGCCGCAACATATAATTGCGAGTGTCTGCTGCTTTGGTCAAAAGAAGCAGCAGACACTCGCAATGCGAACCGAATTGTCCCAGAAAGACCTGGAAGGGGGGTCCTTTCTCAAGGTCAGGACCCCCTTCTAGTCTTTCTGGTCCTGGAAGGAGCGCTTCTGACTGGTCTGTGCGCTGCTTCCAGGAAGAACATGAGATTGCGCCAATAAGCTCCTATCAACAAATTTTGACTAAAAATATAAAGTATCCTTTTGTGATTTAACGAATAGCTCAATTTTAAAATAGATTTGATTCTAATAATAAATTGAATGAGTTTCGCTTACGTTTAGAATTTAATGATTTATATGATTTTTTCGTTCACAGAAGAGTCATTGATATCCAATATCAAAAAAACAGCAAAGACACACCATAATAAATGATATTGAAGCTAAATATTACATATTTCAACATATCTAAAAAATTATTATAAGATTAGATCTCATGCAATGCCGAGCAGTTTCCTAAAGCATAATTACTTATTTATACAGAATCAATTATATAATATTCACATTGCAAATTATATACATTCTCACGAAGCAACATGAAATAGACTGTCCGAATTTGAATTCAAATAGAGATCTACTTCAAAAGGATTTCTTACAATATGTAATCTCGATGTTGATCACTGGAATACAAGGGATGCACGTAATTTACAAATTGTTGCAAAAATAGTAGTGCAACAAAAATTTTATTTTTAGCTTGTCACTTGATATATAACAATTGCAAAAACTCAATCAAAAATAGGATTTGAACAACTTTTTAAAATTGTGAGAAAAATTCTATCGGCACATTCTATTCAATTTTAAAGTATTTCTTTCATATTCCAATCGATTATTCAATATTTGCCAATCACAAATTTTAGTTCAAAATTCAAAAAATCCCTAATTTTAATTTCAGATGAAATCTCGCAAAAATAACATTGTTTTAACCATATAAATATATATTTTATATATTGTATAGTGATTTTTTTAATATTTTTATGAGTAAAATCGAGAGTGAGGAAATGTGGACTACAAAAAACGATAGAAATGAATAGTTTACATGGGAATTCAATACTTACAAGTATTCAATGTCACTTTTGTGCTCGAGATTTTGACTCTAGTATATATGTTGAAATGAAATTGATAAAGATTTTGATTGAGAAATCTCTCATAGAATGTAACTGTGATAACGATACAAGTGATAAGTATGGATCTAGTCTACTCAGTATTGCAATCAAAGAAGGACGTCTTGAAGTGGTAATGCTAAGCTGGTGTTCATGCGTTAATGGTGCATTCATATTAAAACTCATCATTCATTTTTTGAATAGTTTATATATCGTTCTAAGATTGTTAGCAAAAAAAATTCTGAAAAAAAATTTTTTTGTTCAAAAACTTTAATGAATTATAATGAAAATGAACGTTGGAAACCAAGATCTCCAAAAGAAGAATTGTTTCTCAAAAAGATGTATTCTATAGACCCATATCTATATGGATTACATCCAGAACGCAAATTAAGTCACATTTCTTATGCAATTCATCTAAGAATCAAAAAGGATGAAGAGAAAATTGCCATCAGAAAAAGGCATGAGTACTTCTTATATAAACATGTATATCGAAATTACGATGAAATAAATAAATTCATAGTTACTGAGACTCTTTAGAAAGCAAAACAGTTTCAATTCAGAGCTGTAGTTGATGATGATTTTGGTTATTATGACATGTTTAAAGAAGGAATAAAAAAGTACTTAATAGAGCGAAAAGGAATATTGCCGGATTCTGAATTAGAAGATATAGAAAAGTTTGTTAATGATGCAAAACCTAAAGACTTCTGCATTATGAATCTTTATACAAAAAAACTGGTTCAATATAGTCCTGAAATTCTTGAAAAATTCTTGAATATTTATTTTAGAGATAAATTATTTATGCCTCGTTTTGGAACTCACTACATTGGTCATGTTCCAAATTTATGTGCCGATGAATACTATGATAAAAACATCTTTGGTATATTCGAATTCTTAATGGTGTAGAATAACTAATGAAAAAATTAAAAAAAAATATAGTGGTCTCAAAAATAGATTTCAGAACCTATTCAAATGATTTGAGAACTTAATTATAAAAATATTATATGTTCATAATACAATAATATTTTCAAGAAAAATTTAAAAATAAAAATTCTCTGAAATTTTAGAATCTATACTTATACAATGTTCTTATATTAATCTACATGTTATTGATAAGCAAATATTGTTTAATAGTTAAATTTGATACATATCGTTATCTGATGGAATTTGATAATTTATTGAGTATATTTTTATGAAATATAATGAATATATCGGTCCACATTAGCTGTAAATAGGATTTGTCTCACACTGATTGAGTAATACCTCTATGATTTGTTAGATTGTGACCATATTAGAATGTATCATTCATTTCTTGGCTCCGGTTTGATATTTATAAGGTCCACTTTAAGTATTAGCAAATGCCATATAATTGGTTGAATAATACATATGATTTTTTTGAAAATAAATTAAATTTGAAGAACTCGAATTATTCTTTAGAAATAATAAATTTCATGATGAGCATAAATTAAACACAATGTTTAATTCTAATTTTGAAAAATGCCCGTTTAAAATTTTTATTTTTCCCAAGTCATCAGCAAAATGTATTATTAGTTTAAAATCTACTGATAGAAATCAAAAGGTAGAAACTGTAATGCTTACTGCGCATGCTCCCTGATTTTCCGTTGAATTCTCTCCAAATTATTTCAATAAATTAGCAACAACTTACTAAAACTCATGGAAGAAGCTGGAAATCATTAATATGTTACTTTTCAAAGTTTGCTTTAACATGAATTGCTATGGCTCCTTATTAAAAAAATTCAAATTTTTATATAAAAAATTAGAAGAAGAAATTATTAAAACCAGATTCTCATTACAGAATCATTACATGATACTATCTTGGAATTGGATTTTCTATACCCTAAAAGTAAACCATTCAAATATATCTAAACGTATACTTTTTTTCTGAGCAGACGTTAAGGAATTGAGAGCCACAAAAATAGGATCGGTGTTTGGTCGGATGTTCAATAGTTTACATCTCCCCTTCAAAAAGTCCCCTTTAATTTTTCATTACCCTATAGAATTTATTTCCGAGAGTACTATAGAAAGCGTGTATAAAGTTTTTAGAAAGGTGTATAAGATAAATATCCTTCGTTTGGCTATGTCAATAATAAATTCAATACTGATGTTCTATTCTAAAGGAAAAATTTTGAAACATCAAATTTACAGATATTGAATAGGATATATTCTTTCGTTATAACGAAGTTTACTAATATTTATAAGCATACATGTTGTGATCAAAGTGCTTCTGATGTAAAAACTGAAACGCAAATTTATCGCAGATCATTGGTTGTTAATTTAGTATTTGAGCGTTCATACTTGAAAATATAATGATTACATGAGTGTGACAAGTGGGAAAGCATCCGTCACCATCATAATTCAAGTTTATTACATTTTACAATTTTCAATAATTGAAGAAATCGCATCAAATTTCCAGCCGTACTTTATTCATACTTATGGTATATATGACCGAAATATTCAAAAACCAAGAACTGTACGTTAGAACAATTCAATTGTCAATTCATCAAGAAAGATGTGGAAATTTTCGATGATTGGCTCAATCAATGTAAATAAAGCATATTGGGCTTTTCAGAGAAGCTCTGGCTGGTCTGATGACGATGAGGATCAATCAGAAAATTCCGAAGATAAAAATCAAAATCAGGAAGAAGAAGACAAAAATCAAAACCCTATTCAAGAAACTCCACCAATAGTGGATGAAGTTATAAATCCATGCACTGATAATAATGATTCAGAAACAAAATCAAAAGATCAATCAGATAATCAACAAGAACAAAATATGGGAGGATTGTTCGATAATGAATTTAAGCCACAACTTCCAAGAACTGCTCGAGGTCCAAGAGCACGCTTATACAGTCGAAAATTACAAAGAGTCAATACTGCACGTGTTCCAGATTATGAAGCTCTAGACGAAAAGATTAAAGAATCATTTGATGAAATTGATAGAATGCTTTTGCAAATCCAAAATGGTGAAACAGTACTAGAGCAAAAGCAAGCTACAAAGATGAAAAATCTCATCAAGAAACAGCGTTCAGAACTATTAGATCACGACCAAGATTGGAGACATGGAGCTCATTATAAGATGTTTTATCGAGATTCACAATTCCTCAGAAATCTCAAAAATCAACAAGCCATGCTACAGAAAATGAATAGATTCGATGATGCATCACTCATTAAGAAGCAAATTAATGAAGTTTCCTCCCAAGAGTTTGAAACAAATAAAAAGAACCATGCATTTGCTTTTTATAAGTCCAGAACAGAGCTGATGGAAAGACAAAAGAAGGAAAGAGAAAACGCAATGCAGAATGCAGCAGAGAAAAAGAACGCTTACATTGCTCAGCGTGAAAAGAAAACCGAAATTTTAAATCTTAGATACGCGATTTTGAAGGATGTCGGAATTAGAAATTCAAGAGCAAGACTGCCAAGAATTTAATATTATTTATTATATTAGTAAAATGTTTGTATATATGTCGTTTGAAAAAAAATTACAACTTTATTTTAGAAATATTAATTAAATAAGCAATGCCCCGCTTAATAATAACAAACAGTAACGAGGTAAAATGAATTTCTTTGTTATGTAGTTTATATGAAGAGTTCCTGAAAATCTTATCTGATTAAATATGAAATTATGTATAATTGGAAAAGCGCCGATGAATCAATGATACTTATACCGATTTCGGCCTTGAACTCTAATAATTTATGTGCTTTTTTGAATTATATCACGAAAAATGAAAGTAAAGGTAGTTATTCAGCAAAACAACTTAGCTATATGTTCAATTGTTTATGCCAAATTATTTTGATATATTGGGGATGTTGCAATAATCGAATAATTAATTTGTTGATCGTACTTTAAAAACTTGCTTAAGTTGAATTCCATTAGTGGTGTTAAGTGGAAATATAACTCTAAAATACATGTTTAATTCATGAAAAAATATCAAACAATAATAAAATAAAATCTAAACATTTTTCATCATCTCATTTGCATTTGAAAAATGCTGTGATGATCCTTGTTGTATTGGTTCTTCAGGAACAACAAATTCAACTTCAAATCCGAACCAATGGCAAATAAACGTAGTTGCTTCAACAACACTTGCTTCTGATCTGTCTGTGTTGTGTTTTCCTTCAACAATTCTTAATCTTTTCTCATTAGACCCGCATAATGAATACAAACTTTGAGAATTTGAAGGACAAATGAAATCATCATCTTGCCCATGTACAAATATAACTGGACATGTAATATTTTTGGCCTCATCAAGAATATTTAAGTTATTAATATCGAAGCCTGTTTTCTCGATGATTTTTTGATGTATATGCGGCATTAAAGAATTATATAACGAGTCGGGTATATTCTTGGACTTTGCTACTGATCGACATAAATCTGTGATAGAAATAAAAGCTGAATCTGCAATTATTGAAGAAACATCGTGATATTTGGCCGCATACAAGAGAGCTGTTGCTGCTCCCATTGATCTTCCCCATAATGCATATTTCGTACATTTGAAAGTTGCTCGAACTTGATCAATGACTGATTTTGTGTCATCTACTTCGTAATATCCAAGTGTGACGTATTTTCCTTCACTTTCACCACATCCTATATAATCAAAGCAGCAAACATGAACTCCTACCGGTATAAATAATGAAACACAAAATCTGCCCTCTAATTGATTTGATGCATTTCCGTGTAGATAGAACACAACTGGATTTCCTGGTCGTGGATGCGGTGCTTCGTAAAACGATGCATATATTCGTAAATTGCGTTTTGTATTTACCGGAAAACCAATTCTAAGAACAGATCCAAATCCGGGGATTTCGTTGTATTGGTGCATCTTATTTAAATTATAATGACTGCGAGGTGGTCGTATGATTGCTTTTACTCCTTGACTTACAAGCATTTATTTGAAGCAAACCCGTCAATTTAAAATCTTCTAAAAAGTGACAATATTTTGTGAGAAATATTTTTGGATAAACTTTTTAAATGTTCAGTGTAACTAATTAGACACTTTTCTCAAAATAATGTACGTTTTGAATAATTGTAAAGTTGTAATTGAATATTCCAATAAGGATCATTAACACCCGATTCTTGATTGCAAATAACCTTACATTATCATGCATCATATGATTTATGATTTATTTTTAAATTATCTCAATCATTTTCCGATAATCGTATTTAAAATACACATTTATATAGTACTTTAATGAAACAAAACATTTGGGATGATAACGTATATGGAGTGTATGAAGTTATTAAGGTTAAAAATGATAATAAAAATGAATTTTTTAATTTTGTTTGTTTTTTGTTATATTTTAGAGATTTTCCTTCACATTATGATGTGTAATTGAATAGAATATCTTTTGATGCGTATTTTTTGCTACCCTTATATTTTGTCTCTTGCAGATTTGTAATCAACGAACCAGTATTATTTTAATCCTAAAATAGAGTGATGAAATTATTTCTATGCATATGTGCTCGTGAAGTTTTAGAAAGGTACCATTCAGTGATAAACAAAGTCCCGGTGAATTCGACTTCAATGTAGATATTTGATAAAAGCAATATAAATACATTGATATCTACTTGTGATATAGTGGTTTGATTACACCAGAACAATTTTATTGGATTCGGGATATAAAAAAATTGTGAGGTTTTCAAATTCAAAATCAAATAATTAAAATATCATGTGTGGAATCTTTGCTTACATGAATTTTATTAAGGATAAAAAGCTCAGGGAGATCTTAACTAATCTCCTTTCTGGCTTAAAGAAGTTGGAATATCGTGGCTATGACTCTTGCGGAATATCTTTTGATATCAAAGACAAAGACGAGAACAAGATTGTCATTGCCAAATCAAAAGGAACTGTTGATAATCTTTCTAACTTAATCAAGGACTATTTAACAGACGAGACCGTTTTTCACAGTCATGTTGCAATTGCTCATACTAGATGGGCTACACATGGTCCGCCAACAGCAGGAAATGCTCACCCACATATTTCTTCACCAAATATGGAATTCGTTGTTGTTCACAACGGTATTATTTCAAATTATGCTGAATTAAGAGATCGTTTACTCCAAGAAAGTTTGTTTTCTACTGCCTCAAAAGTTGAACAAGTTGATACAATGATCAGCATTCAAAATCCAAAAGATGCAAATGCAAAGTTCACATCAGAAACAGATACAGAGGTTCTTGCTAAGCTTGCTTTATTTATTTACAACAGACTTACAGTTGAGCTCGGAAAGAAGCCAACATTCCTTCAAGTTATCGCAAATACAATGAAATTAGTACAAGGAACATTTGGTGCTGTCTTCAAATCATCGCTCTATCCAAATGAAGTCGTTGCATGCAGATTATCCTCACCAATGCTTCTCGGTCTTAAATACGAAGGAGAATGTGAAGCAAAACACGCAGCAAGATTAATTGACATGAAGCGTGATGATCTTTTCGGCTCAGTCACAGACTTTAACGAGCCAATTTACCACCAAGCACCAAAACCATGTGAATTATTCCTCGCATCAGACGCTCCAGCATTTGCTGAGCACACGAGAGATGTTATTATCCTTGAAGACTGGGATATCGTTCATATCTGTGAGAATGGAATCGATATCATTAACACAGCTCCATCACAAGAAAAATTCAAGTCAAACAGAATCTCAGAGACACTCCAGTTGTCATTAGAATCCATTGCTAAAGGAAACTACGGACATTTCATGTTGAAAGAGATCATGGAACAACCAAATTCTTTGGCAGCAACAACAAGAGGTCGTATTCTTCCAGGATCAACTGATATCCACTTGGGTGGTATGATCCCTTACATCGAGACTATCAAACAATCTAAGTACATCATCTTCATCGGTTGTGGAACTTCATACAACGCGGCATTGGCGGTTCGTCCACTTTTTGAGCAGTTTACACGTCAAAGAATTTTTGTTGAAGTTGCCAGTGATTTCAATGATCGAAAGCCAATTGTTTTCCGTGATGATACATGTGTATTCTTGTCTCAATCCGGTGAAACAGCAGATACATTGATGGCACTTGAACATTGTCGAAATTGCGGTGCATTTTGTGTTGGAATCAACAACACACCAGGTTCATCAATTTCCCGTGGTACAACATGCGGTATACACCTTAACGCAGGTGTTGAAATCGGTGTTGCATCCACGAAATGCTATACAAGTATGATTGAAACATTATTAATGTTTTTGTTGCTTCTCATGCAAGATTCCATTTCACAGCGCAAAGAGAGGAAACGCGCACTCCAAGATTTGGCGAGTTTGCCATCCATGGTTGAAGAAGTTCTTAAATCGACATCTCCAACAATACAAGAGATCTCAGCATTCGTTGCTAAACAGAAGAACTTGATCATGCTTGGAAGAAGAACACATTACGCAACTGCTCGCGAAACAGCACTCAAAATCAAAGAATTGACATATATCCATTCTGAAGGTCTCATGGCAGGAGAACTTAAGCATGGTCCATTGGCATTGATTGACAACGACTCATTGGTCATCTTCTTTGCTACAGGAGAAGATGATGAGATGTTTTCAGCCGGTCAATCATCTCTTCAACAGATCAAAGCAAGAGGTGCAAAAGTTCTTGTCGTTGTCACAGAAGAAGATGTCAACAAAGTCAAGAGTTTCTCTGATTGGTTGATTGTTGTTCCGAAGATGAGTCAGTGGACACAGATGATTGTTAACATTATTCCAATGCAACTACTTTCATACTATGTTGCTCTTCAGAAAGGAATCAACGTTGACAGACCAAGAAACTTAGCTAAGGCTGTAACTGTTGCATAAAAAATATTATTATAAAATTTGATTTATACTTTATTTTATCTGGTACGACTCTAATACGATTCACAAAGTGTCACCTTTTCTATAAAAATTTTATATTGTCACCTTTTTTATAAATTTTTTTTCGCAATTAATAAAAGTCTGGTACATTAACACGAACCAATGATCAGAAGCACACTTTCTATTAAAGAAATAGACAGACAGAATTATTTACAGATACTTTTATTGACAAAAACGAAAGTAAAGCTATATCAGGAACTGGAAATTATTATATCCATAATGTAGTATTTTCTTGTAATCATCAAAATCAAGCAATTAACATTTATACTAGCAGCAAAGTATTACTTGAAATATGCTCATTTTACAACAACAGCTCTACAGAAAATGGTGGAGCTTGCTATATCAAGGACTCTGAATGCGTTTTAGTTCAAAATTGCTTTTCATACTGCTCAGTTAATAACAATAATATTGGGAGTGCATATTGCATTGAACCAAATGATGGAAGTAACGATAAAAGCTACGCATTTGAATTGTCAATATCACAGTGTAGTGGCTTTAAGTCTTCTTTCTATCATAGGTTTGGAAATATCAAAGTAAGTAATTTGAATTCTTCTTATCACAATATGATAAGTTTTGCTGCATAAGTTAGTATGACTATCTTCAGTACTGTGGCACTGCGCGCCATCTTACCGAAGATATGTCAATCTGGCACTTTACAAAACCGTTAACGTATATTTTACAACACAACCATAACACCAACTTAACCTTAAATATTTACAAAGCCGCCAATCACTAACGACTTCACTAACGACTTCACTAACGACTTCACTAACGAATTCACTACCATCCTCACTAAATAAAAAATAACCTTATTTTATTTATTTTCCAACTTTTTTATTTCATTGTAAAGGCATGTCTGACTACATTTACTATGACTCTTTCCCAGAACGTTTCCGTGAACTATTCAAAACTCAAGTAAAACTGAGAAACATGCATTTTAACAAAGACAGACCCATTGACGATGAAAGAAACCCTGAATATATTACAATCCCTTATGACGCAAAGTTCATTGCATACATTCCTTATGGTCGCAGAGGAACGAAAACTATTTCAACAAAGAACAAAAATTATTTCTGGAGCGATGAAGAAAATTGCCTTATCTACATAATTTTAAATAAAGCTACATATTGTACAAAAGAAGGTTGGACTGGATTTGAGCTCTACATATACGACGACGATGGAAACAGACGTTGTGTATACCCATACGATAATATGTACCATTGTTTTCATCAAGCATTAAACGAATACATAGTCAGTAAGGGTCTCATTCCTGTTGAGTAGATATGCTTTATTTTTGTTCTGTCATTTATATAAAAATAAACTTAAAAATTAATGATATCACCACCTTCACGCGTATGAAAACATAGCACAAAAATAAATTTAGGTGAAGTGGTGAGATCTCACCTCTTTTTTCACCTCTTTTTTCACCCTGTTGAATTCATTGCTTTATAACTCTCTTCCTTGATTTCTTTTTAGTTGCTTTCTTAACATCTGTCTCCAACTTGACTGTCTTTCTTCTTCGTCCGTAATGATACCAATTACTTCCACCAGTCAATGGGTCAAATGGTCTTTCGTAAGGGTTTCCATACATTCCATAAGGTCCGTATGGATAAACCGCTGGTGGAGAAGAAACATTTTCTTTAGTTCCATCGAATCTATTTAAATGCATTGTTTCACCTTTCATCTGGTCATTAAAGTCTTTTGCGTGTTTTGCAAACTCATCGTCCTTTCCTAAAGCATTTTCTGACTCAGTCGCAACCAAATTGGATGCTTTATTTATGAGCCCTATTTTATTTAATCTTAACTTCTTTGCAACCCAGCCTCCAATCTTTCCTTTATTTGCATCTAATGTCTTTGAAACCCTTCCTCCACTCATTTTATTTACTGCGTCATAAGCTCCAAGTGCTTTTGCTCCAAATGCTAATGCTTTTGTTCCCATTGCGCCTAAAGCTGCCCAAGCTACCATTTACCCCATATTAAAATCATCTCTCTTCAATATTATCTCATAAAAGTTCTCGTTACTGGAGAAAGTCAATGAAACATAAACATTCTCACGTGCTTCGCCCTCACCGCTTTGCGGTCTATCTAACTTCTTTCTTATCTCATCTATTCTCAATAAAATGTCTGAACAATTGCTAACATCTTCTACAACAGTTATTTCATCATGAATGACCTTTAAGAACAAGCTCATTTAATATGCAATTAAAATCATCTCAATAATGAGTCCATCCTTTCCATCTTTAGGTAGCACAACATCTTTCATTGAAGAAGGTTCGACAAGTCTTATGTTAAACTTACTGACAAAGTTTGTTATACTATAATGCTTCGGCGGCGAATACATGTAGTTTGAAAGACATAATATAGATTCTTCAGCAAATTCACTTATACTGGATTTTATAACAATGTTCTCACGAGACCAAATACCACCAATTGACAATCTTGTAAGCAATCCTGCTGAACCTTCTACTGTAAACGTCGATGGTAACATTCCACGAAGGTCATCTATTGACATCGTTGAGTCACTGTATTTAAATATTTTCTTAAAGCAATCGTCATTATCTAACCATGCAATAGCTTTGAAGTTTTCATTCGAATATACATCTGCTTCATTAAATGTAAATCCTGACTTCTTTGCAGAGATGACTTTAAAATCTATTGAGTTTGTTTCAAAATTATATGCTATGGTAACTTCTGAAGGTAATGGATGTCCTTCCGCAGTCAGTTGTTCTCTCACTACCGTTTGAAGCTTTGTATTAAAAACTTTCATGTCATCTCCTGTATCTAAGTTCACATACACAGCAACAGGGAAACTATCTTGCTTCTTTGTTTCATCATTATATCTCAAAACATTAAAGTTCTTCAATAATATTGTTCTTCCTGCTGGAATACTTCGAACCTGTCTGATTTCAATAGCTTTCTCACCTCCTACATACTCTACCCAGTGTCTTGGATATTCATAAGTATACTGACTTTCTTGAATTTTGGTTGGTTTCATCATAACATGTTCATAGTATATCTTTATACTCTTGTCAGTTAGACTCGGTGCTATGTTCTGAATATTTCTGACTTGCATTTTTAATGGAGATAAAATGAAGCATTTAATACATGACGTAGATGAAGACATGAATGAAACTACAGACAAACTTAACTCTTCTCTCATTCTTCCTTTCAGTAAGGACTATGAGTTCTGTTCAAATGGTGTGTATTTCTATTGTGGAAAGATGGGTTCAGGTAAGACATTTAACCTCATTCGTCATATACTCATAACAGAGCGTTTAGGAAACGACTCTTACTATGACCAAATCATTATATCAGCAACTTCAGACTCTATGGATTCAACAGCGAAAACATTTATGTCAAAAGTTCAAGCCTCGGTCGTTAAAGTTCCAGACAGTGAACTCATTGAATTTCTTCAACGTTACATTCGACGTAAGAGGAAATATTATGCCATCGTTGAATTTATACAGTCAGGAATGCAAAAGACTTCTGAGGAGATGGAAAGAATTATTGACAAACACCACTTACGTCAATACTCAGGAGTTTACGATATGAAACGACTTACAAACTACATTCTGTCAAAACTTTCAAAATACCCCTTCAAAAAGTATCCTTCAAACACTTTATTAGTTTGTGATGATTTCGCTGGTAAAGGTTTAGTGTCAAAGCCTGACTCACCATTAGCTAACATCATAACTAAAGTCAGACATTACCACTTAACTGTAGCAATACTTATGCAAACATGGCGTTTTCTTGCTTTAAACATAAAACGTCTCATAACTGACTTCGTTATCTTTCAAGGTTTCTCACGTTATGATATTGAACTCATTTGGAAACAGTCAGGTATAACATTACCTTTTGAAGAATTTGGGAAGCATATAAGTCTCTCATCTCTCCTCGTTCATACCTTGAGATTCATATCATGACTAATACCATTAAAGTCAAAAATATTCCATGGGAACGACCAACATTGTTTTAAATCTTATGCTTTAATTGACTGATGGTAAACAATTCCATGCATCTCTGTCGCCATTTCTGTTAATATTTTTGCTGTCATTCATATCATCCACTTCCCCATCCGTTAGCTTTTGAGGATATGCGTTAGAATAGCTGTTCTTAAATGAAGGCTTTTCACCTTTGAGAGCATAAACTCTATAACTTTCTGCATACTTTATGTTTGAACCTCCTGAGCCATCATTGACATAAATTTTTATAGGCTTCCACCTTTGTTCATATTCCTGCTTCTTCCCTTTGCTCTTTTGTTCAGTAGTTCTACATCTTTATACACAGCTCCTGTCTCAGTGAATTCAACAATATTTTCATTCGTTAGCTTTACATTCAAACCCTTGTCGAGTATATTGTTCATTTCATACATATAAAAGGTTTTTATTCTATATGAAATGAGAAGCAAATCCATCTTAGCTGGTGCCGTTAATGTTCCAATTGAACCAACATCAAATGTTGACTCACGAACGACAAACAATATTGTCATAAAGAACTATAGTTCAGAGTGTTTGAAAGAAAAAGAACCAGAGCTGAAATCCGTGAATTTAAACACAGCTTCAAACGCTAACGCTACATCAGATGTTAAGTTAGAGTATCCACCACTGGACCAAATTCTTTCAAAAGAAGCCAACGACAACCCTTACATAAATGTTCAAACAAATCCTTCAGATAACGTAGACCATTACCTTCTTCAGTTATACCAAACAATTTTACTCAAAGACGATAAGAAGCTTTTGATAAATCTTATAAGTAAGAACCAAATAATTCTAACAAAGGAGGACCTTGAAAATGTTATATTCACGAATAACAGGAAAGCAATGTGTCATTGACTATCTCGACCCTGAAATCGAATGCTGTGGTCAAACGCCAATATTCATGAAATAGGTAACATCCGCATCATTGAAACACCAGGAACTACAGGAGTTGAGTTTAAGTATAAATATTCGAACGAGTATACAAAACTATCTACTGACTATAAGCTTTGTTTGAAATATGTTTTAGTAAATTAAAGCAACTTATAGTATCTATCCAAAACTTCTTCAACAGTATTGAATTCATCTTCATAATGTAGACCTAATCTTATTGACTTGGTGCAGTTTTCACTAACACAATATTTTTCTGTTCTCTTGACTGACATAACTAACTCATTTGTTTCATCAAACAGCAACAACCAAAGTTCATGACCTAATACATAACATTCATACTTTATATTTTTAGCTCTGAGTTCTCTTGTAAGCTGTTGCATTTAATATTTTCTAAAAGTCAACTTCAACAGTCATTCGCACTGGTGCCTTCAGTTCTACAGGCTCTCCTTGAAAGTCAACAAGTCTGAATTGCATGTCTTTCAAATTATGAGGACTAATGCGAACCCATTACCTAAATGAGTTGCTATGACAGGAACGTTTGGAATGAACATTGAATTGACTGCATAACAGAAGGATTTATATTCTACTGAACCTTTACTATTAACTCCTGAAATACCTGTGACATTAGCTATTTTTGACTCAATGTACAAACAATTACCATAACATACGTATGGAACAGATTTCATCTCAATCGTTTTGTCAACACTTTTCAAAGGAAATGTCATATAGTATGCTCCCAAAAGAAGTTGTACTCCTATGACTCATTCTTGGTATCTTAAACTCCTTCGCATAACTGAACTTCAAAACTCCTATAAGTTTAACATTCATTAAGTTTTCTTCGTTATCCTTGTTTATATGTAGTATTTATGAGAGCATTTAACACTCCAGCTAATGTTTCCATTATATTCTACATTATTGTGAAAATCTTATTTCATGCTTCTTTCCATCTATTTCAAGCTCCATGAAATCTGTTTCATCTGTTATAACGAATGAAGCGATAGTATTGAAGTCAACCATTCTGAATGCAAGCGTCATTCTGTAGACCTAAGTTTGTTTGTAGCTTTACTGTCCGTAATTCGTTTGGGTCTGTACTTTGCAAATAGAACAACATTTTATTCTCATTAAAATATGAGTATAGCTGCATATGCGTATGAAGCTGACAGAGCTAAACGTTTATATTTTGGTCAATACTCTCTCACACTTACTGACAATATATTGTTATCAGTGATGGAAATACCGAGAAATACATAACATGGAAGGACTATGAAAAGTTTGACCCTATTTTAACTCCATGTACTATGCCATTCATTGTAAATGGTGAAGTTGTCATGAAGAACGACACAACAGTATATAAGTCTGTATATGAAGCGTTAGAATATATGTTGAATTATAATCCGAAAGATTTGACCCAAGCACTACACCATGTGCAATGCCTTTTATTAAGGACGGTGAAATCGTAAGAGTTCCGGATTCAACGGTTTACACAGCTGTTCAAAACAGTTTACAAAACTTTTAGCGAATATCTTTAATTCAGAAACTACAGAAATAAAATTACCATATAATAACAGATGCTAAAGAAATTAAATCAAAAACGACAACATTATTTACGTCACTTAATGATTTAATGACTTATATCATTAATATTCCTGCACCAACTACAGCATTTGATCCAAACTCGACGGTTTGCAGTGTACCTTTCATAAATGACAGTTCATTAATTACTTTAAGGGATTCGACAGTAAATGAATCATTAAAGGCGTCATTAATGAAAATCATTGATTTTAATTCATTCACGAATACATATAATTCATTCATTAATGTTTCATAGCTTCTAAAGAAGGTGAGCAGCAAAAACTATCAATAAAGCGGTGTATGAAATAAAAGCATCAACGACGAAATTGAATTCGTTAACTTTTGACGTGATAGTTTCGTTAATGACATAACATCGGGGAAAACAATTTTAACGAAGAATACTTAAAATCTCATGTTAGTGAGTTCGTTGAAATTGAAAAAAGAAGGTGGAATTAAGTTCGATCCACTGAATTTCATTTTCAGCTTAGCGAATGCGGGTGTTAGTTTCGCTGAATGGACAACTATACAGAGTGAAATAAATGCAATATGGACGTTTTTTGGGGTCAAAAGCGGGAATGGGTGAGCTTGTAAATGCTGCAAGAACAACATTAGGTGAAACAGGAAATTTTGTAGATGGTTTTAAAAGACTTGTTTCAAATGTTTTAACAAACACAAAGAAATTATTTAGATATACCATACATAACGGTCAGATTTTCGAACAGATAGCAACAAACCCTCCGGTTATGGCTGCGTTGATGATGGTTAGAGATATAAAACCACGTAACGACGGGAACAAAGAACATGAACAACAGGATACTGGTCGGGTTATTCGAGACATTAAAAACGTGTATCCTGAAGTTATTGATTTATTTAGAGGAGTTAATGATTCAATTTCAAAACATTCTATAACCCTCGATGAAGAGAATAAATTAACAGATTATATATTCGTCATTATTGCAGAACTAATGAAGAGAATAAATGAAAAAGGAATTGGTGATATCATTAATGTCAGCGATGGAATGATGAAAAGAAATTTTGACTCATTATTTACAAAACCGAAAACAGAATATAGTCTTTATGACGTAATTACCGAATTAATGATAATAAGAGTTCTGGCGGAAGAGTTGAATTAGAAGTGAATGATGTTAATGAGAAATTAGCCGAAAAAGCAGACAAAAATGAGCTTTTAGCTCTGAGTGATAAAGTCAAGAACCACGTTCATTATATAACTTCAGACGAACAGATTATAACGGACTACCATGGATATTTAACACGAAGTGATGAAGTGAAGACGGAAGACCCCAATGAAAGAAGATATAAATACATTCGTGCTAAAGGTTATGACATAAGCTGCACTGTACAGTATGACACAGGTAAAGCACCAGAAGCATTTAGTTATAACGATGAAATTTATGCCTCTACTTTCTCTGTTAAAGGTGTATTAGTTGAACCAAGATTTACTTTGAGAGTTAAGTCAAAAATAACGTTTGAAGATGCTATTAAAAGTAAAGCTGACAAAGTTGAACTCGAAGCAATGAACAAAGTTTTGAAATCTCATAAACACAACATCTCCGATATAAATGAACTTCAAGCTACATTAGACAGTAAAGCCGACAAGAACCATACACATAAATCCTTCACTACTGTTAGAGCAGACGACATAATATTGAACTATACCCTTGGTTCAAGTGCACCTTTAGAGAATCCAAGTACAAGCGTAAAAGATACACTAAACTCCTTAAATAGTAAATGTATGAACATTGAAGGTCATGTCAGAAACTTTGAAACACATGAACTACCAGCAATGTTAGATAAAAAAGCAGATAAAGAACATACACATAACTCCTTCTCAACTGTTGCTATAGAAAGTATTGAAGGAACGGTTGGCGGAACTGGTGGGGAGGGCGGAGCCCCGCCGCACGCGGCTGCATTATATTATAAACCTCCTAACTTTCCACAAGGTTTAACATCGAATGAAAACATAACAACGAAGAAAGAAATTAGCTGTAAAAATGTTTATGTCATGGACGATGAAAATAATGTTAAATTCACTGCTCAAGATTTATATGATAATAAAGCTGACAAGAACCATACACATAAATCCTTCACTACTGTTAGAGCAGACGACATAATATTGAACTTTGACCTTGGTTCAAGTGCACCTTTAGAGAATCCAAGCACTAGTGTAAAAGACACGCTTAACAGTTTAGATAACAGTTGCAGGAATATCGAAGGTCATGTCAGAAACTTTGAAGCATATGAACTACCAACAATGTTAGATAAGAAAGCAGACAAAACAGAGCTTCAAACATTAAAGACAGAAATACTTCAAACATTATATCCTATAGGCTCTATTTATACGTCAATGAACTCAACAAATCCAGCAAGTGTTTTAGGTTTTGGTACGTGGAAGCAGATTGTAGATAAATTCTTATACTGTGCTAGATATTCAAAGCAAACAGGAGGTTCGAAGAAAATTAAAGAGCAAACCTTCCACCACAACACTCATACAGGAACTACAAACACAACAGGTAATCATTCACATTCAATAACAAAAAGAGGTTATACAAATCTTGCAGCAGGTTCGGATAGACAGGGAATGAATAGATATGATATTTCAAGTGACCCAGTAGATTCAAGCACAGGTATTTTCTGTGGAACCACAGGTAATCATTCACACACTTTCACAACAAATCCAACAGGCTCGGGTGCAGATTATATGCCACCATTTGTGACTGTATTCGCATGGTACCCGCGTTCAATGAACGCGCTTGAGCCTAGAATAAAATCTTTAACTTTACATAAATGAGCTTGAAAGAAGTATTCGAACAACATCCATGGAGGTCATTTAAGAAGTTCAATGAAGCAGCAAAAAGTTGGGGATTTACTAACAGAGCTGAAGTGAAAAAGTTCTTTGACAAAAATGTTGTACATCAAACAAAAATAAACCCTTACGACTACTTTTTACCAATTTACTCCAACACTCCTGACGCATACCAATTTGACACTCTCATTCAAAGCAGAAAAGGAGGACATAAACCATTCCTCATCTTCATTAATGTTAACACTCGCAAAGCATATGCATATCCAATGAGGAATAAAGGAACTCGTGAAGTGTTAAGAGTTTTACAAAAGTTTGTAGCAGAACATAGCCCAAGTACTTTAACATCAGACCAAGACAGTGCATACCTCAGCAATGAAATCACAGATTTTCTCATTAAGCATAACATAACTCACTACACTACTGAAGACCATAACCATAACATACTCGGCATCATAAACCGCTTCATAAGAACGCTCAGAGATTTAAATCAAGAGCGAGACTTTACCGAAGAAACAATGAAACATTTTCTCGAAGTATATAATTCCTCAACAAATTCTACAACAGGACATACACCAAATTCAATGACACAACAACAGAAGAAAAGTATATACAAAAGAAACGAAGCCAAACACAAAATATCAGAAATTCAACACAATTTACCCTCATTCCTGGTACAAAAGTTCGTGTAGTTCTTGACGACAAACCATTGACAAAGAAACGTTTAAGGTTAAGTCGAAATTATTATATCGTAGACTCTACGCAAGGTAATGGATATCTTATAAAAGCTGCTGACGACTCCATAGCGTTTTACCCTCGTCATAAATTAGTCGAAAGTAGTAATGGCAAACTTGCTGAAACCATTGACGAAGCAAAGCGAGGAGTGGTTATTGAAATACTTGGCTATAACACAAACGATGACACTTATAAAGTAAGATATGAAGGAGGCGTTGAAGATGTTATACCATCTAAGAACTTGAGAGAGTCGAAGCCAACACATCTGGGACCATTAGAGCGGGAGTACTGGAAAGACAAAAATATGCCAGAAAGAATAAGAAAATTCTTCTAAACTTTTTCATTAGATGTAAATCAGACAAAAATATATTTTAGGTGAAGAGGTGAGATTTCACCTGTTTTCTCACCTGTTTTCTCACCTCCTTTTTCACCTCCTTTTTCACCTGTTTTCTCACCGCTTAGCGGCTCAGATTGCTTTTGCTTTCTCGTGAATTTTCATGAATTTCCTTAAGATAGAAAAAATAAAGTTAGTTTTATTTTTATTTATTTTTTTATCTTGTATGTAAAGATATGATTTCAACAATAGGTTCTACAACAATTCAAACAACTACAGCACCAAACTCGCTAGTCATGAATCCTACATCTATGTTGGTAGAGATGAAAAGCTTCATTCCTTCTTCATATACTTTTGAGACAGAAATACAAAGAATTAAGCAAGAACTTTTAACAAGTAATTTAGACTGTAGTGCGAAAGATGAAACAAATGAACAGTATCTTTATGACATGCAGGACATTATTGACCATTTACCCAAATTGCCTGAAATCCAACAACAAAAGCTCACTATTCATGAATTCGATGAAATAGAAGTGAAACCAATTGACTCAGTAGAAATAAAGAAGTTCATACGTAAAGTAAACTATGAGTTTTAGGATATCATTGCAACCATAAAGTTATGAACAAAGATTGCGACATGGTTTATAAAAACATTTCTGACATATATAAATCTGAGGAGTTTAAGACTTACGATAACTTTGTTTCATTAGTTGCTGAATGTGTGTGGCAGATAAGAGATAAAGATAAAAGATGTAAAATATGGAATGGACAAATAAAACCAACAACTTTTGAGTTAAAGAAAACCATTGACGCCTTAGTTGTTCTAGCAGGTCAAATTTCAATGTATAACGCAAAAATGAATCCGCAATGTTCAAAATGTAAAGCAGCAATGAGGAAATATAACTACTCACTAAAAGAGATAGAACGTATGAGAAACGACTATGCTGACTTAAAGAAAGAAGTAGAGAAACCAGCAGAAGATAAAATGGACATGTTAGCATTTCTGAACAAAAACTATCCAACAGCTGACGATTTCCTTCTATCTGACGTCAAGAAGAAGTATAAAGAAACTTTCGGCATTGTTAAAACTTTTGACATACTGACAGAAGAAATAGAAGCTACGAAATTGTTTAGAATTTCAAATATACATCGTACAATTCATGTAAAACGCTTATAAAATAACTGGGGTGAAAAATTAGGTGAGAAAACAGGTGAAATCTCACCTCTTCACCTAAAATATATTTTTATTGAATTCAGCAACAAAATTCTGAGTAAAATAATTTTTAGGGCATGTGTCAAACCGTTGAGTTTTCACAAAATTTAAAAAATAACGTTTACCATGTAAAACGCTTATAAAATAACTGGGGTGAAAAATTAGGTGAGAAAACAGGTGAAATCTCACCTCTTCACCTAAAATATATTTTTATTGAATTCAGCAACAAAAATCATGAATTTCATTAGTTAGAAAAATAAAGTTAGTTTTATTTTTATTTATTTTTTTATTTTGTATGTAAGAACAGTAATGTCAAACATTGAGTTTGAAACAGTTAGAAAGATAGACAATGACACCAAAGTGGTTAGAATAGGTGATTTAAACGTAAGATACTCAAAGAAATACAACAAATATTCTTTGTCAGACATTATATCTCCATCTGGAAAGAAAACAAACGACTGGGTTAGAAATGCTTCAACTCAGAAAATTTTGACAAGAAATCCTGAGCTTATGATATCGGTAAGATTCTATGGAACTACAGCATATCTCATTGACAAAAGTCTTATACCAATAGTTTTGTTATGGATTGACCCAGTTGTTGGATATAACTTCATAACTTATGGTTCATTCGATACGGAACGTTGCAGTGAAGGCTTACTTTACATCGTTCAGAAACCGAAGGACTTCAATACAAAGAGATATAAATAGGAAGAACATATAATATAACTCAAAGATATGACAGTACAGTCAATAGAGTCAAGGTTGTGTTCGTTAATGATATGAGAGCTGCTGAAACAGAACTGCTTGAAGTTTTTGAGAAAATGTATGGTGCTCCCATGAAAGGTAAGAAACGTTTGAAGTAGATGAGATAGATAAAGCTATAAAATTATTTGACGAAGTTGCTGAAAAATACATGTAAAGCGTTTATTTTTTGGTCTTTTGTGAAAGTCAGAAAATAAAGTTAGTTTTATTTTATTTATTTTTTATTTTGTATGTAAAGACAGTAATGTCAACATCAGAGAACACAACAACTGCTATCGTTCATGAAGCCATAAATGAAGAATATGAATACATACAATATAACAAACAACTTCGCCTCATTCGTTCGGTCAAAGATGACATGTACCAAATGCAAAGTATAATGAATGCTCTTCGTTCTACAAAGCAAGCATATCATTGGTTTGAAAACCAACAGACAAAAGAACTTTTAGAAGAATTTCCTCATATGATTGCTTCCCTCGGAAAACCGAGGAAGAGATTCCATTCGAAAATCGCAAGAATTTGGCTCCTTGTTTGAAAGGTTATTATGTTCAAGACTTTTAGTAAATGCTGTAGCAATGTGGGCTTCACCTCGTTATGCTTGTTATATTTTGATTTAGATGAACTATATTAAGCAGAACGTGGAAGAGATGGAAAAGAAACTTCAAGCAAAAGATGAAGTCATTGAATCCAAAGACAAAAGCATACAGAAAAGAATACCACGTTCAGTACCAAAAGGAAAGGAAAAGAGTTATAAGTATATGATATATACTGAAGAGTTGGAGAAAGAAGAAGATAAAGATATGGTTATGTTGCATTTAGTCAGAAGAAACAACAAGAGCTTTTATGACCTTGCTAAGATTTTACAAATCTGATAGAAACTGGTTCTATCGTGAAAACTTACGCGATTTCAATGACACCGAATGAGCAAATAAAGGAAATTGTCAAAATACTCTTCCTCAAACACACTATGACATCAAAGGTGCACAATACTTACATTCAAAGAAGACTTTAACATTACTGAAGGAAAAAATAACAGAATATTTCGATAACTTCAAAGAGGAAAATGAAAACTTACCGATTTCAATGAAAAACATTAACTTTTTGACGAAGTGAAGATTTGCACTTTGTCAAAATTTAATGAAAACTTACCGATTTCAATGAAAAACATTAACTTTT